TGCTCTTTCCATTCTATAATACGTTACTTATAGCCTGTTATTGATTTTAAGATGGTTTTGAATTTAAATAAGAAAAAAAATCTTCTTAAATATTTTGCAAATTTTTTAGATCTACTTTATTAACAGTTTTAAATTGTATTTACTAGAAATCACCTCAAAAAAAAAAGAACAGACCCCCCCCCGCCCCCCACAGAACACCATAAAACAACAACTCAAACTCCTTGTCATCAAATGAGAATCACCCCAGAGCCGACCCTCTAGTGTCCTTTTGGAGACTGGTAAAACTCTGGGGAGAAGACTGCCCCTATGTCTTCATGGTGGATTTGAACTAATAGAGAAATGTGACCTCTGGGTTAGTAGCACAGATCTCTAATTTACACCTCCTAAATGCCTTCAATTTACCTTTTAGATTCTGGTATTTTTTAGTTAAGTCTGTTTTGTGTTTAATTTATGATTTCTAACTTTGAAGAAAAGAGAGCTCGGGTGGTACAGTCCATAGAGAGTCATGCCACTAATGGGGAGAGGTCACACCTCTCTAGAGGTTTTCCTTAATCAGCAGCTCTTTGAGGGAAAGGTAGGCAATCCTCTCCCATGAGATCACAGCCTCGGAAACTTAAGGTTAACTCCAACGTGGTTTCTACTCGAGGACAATGCATTTGAGTCATTTAGGAATACTTTATTACCTAATGATTGAATTATATGTAGATGGAAAAATTATCTACTTTTACATATTAGGTCATTAATACTCTTAAATTAATTATTAATTGTACTTATATTTTAAAGCCTTCAAAACACCTTGCCATTGAGTTGGAATAGACTCAAAGCTAACCCTGCAGTGGATTTTCTGAGGCTGTGAACTGAGAGGAGGTTACTCATCTTTCTCCCTCAGAGTGTCCACTGCTTTCAACTTTGCAATTGTTCCTGGAGTGAAGTGATAGATAGCTCATTATTGTTTTAATTTGCTTCTTTTTAATAACTAATGATCTTGAGAATTTTTCATGTGTTGTTGAATGTCCCCTCTGGTGAAGTGTCTTTTTATGTCCTCTGTCTAATTTATATAAATAAGCTTGTCTTTTTCTTGTTGAGTTGTTGAAGTGTTCTATAAATCTTAGAGATTAATCCCTTGTCAGATATGCCATTGTCAAGTATTTTTTCCTCAGTTTGCAGGTGCTCTTAATCTTTTTGAAATATCTTTTGATACACATAAGGATTATTATTTTAGGAGGTTCCAGTTAATCTTCTTCTCAATGTTAATCATACTTTGTTATGATCCACACAGTCAAATGCCTTTACACCGTCAATAAAACCCAAATAGATATTCTTCTGGTATTCTCTGCTTTCTGCCAAGATCCATGTGACATTAGCAATGATGTTCCTGGTGCCATGGCCTCTATTAAACCCAGCCTGAACTTCTGGATGTTCTATGTCAATGTATTCCACCAGGGAGATTTTTTATTTTATGATCTAAAGCAATATTTTGCTTACATGTGTTATTAATAATATTGTTCAATAATTGCCACATCCTGTTGGATCAACTTTCTTAGGAATTGAAACAAATATGGATCTCTTCCAGTAGTTGGTCAGGTAGTTGTCTTCCAAATTTCCTGGCACTGATCAGTGAGCATGCCCAGGATTGCATCTGTGGTATCCCAATGATCCCCTTATTTTTTGCCAATGCCTTCAATGCAGCTTACACGTCTTCTTTTATTGCCACTGACTCAATCATATGCTATATCCTGAAATAATTCTGTGTTGACCAGTTCTTTTTTGTACAGTGATTCTGTGTATTCCTTTCATCTTCTTTTGATGCTTCCTGAAACACTCCAGAATTTTCCCATAATGTGTCTCAGTATTGAAACTCGAAGCTTAAATTTGCTTTTCAGTTCTCTTAGCCCAAGAAATGCTGAGAGAGTTGTGTTGTTTTTTTTTTTAATAGTTTTATTCACGGATTCTAGCCCTTTTCACTTTCTATTTTAATAATTTGCTCTGTCTTCTTGAGCTGCCCTTTTAAATCTTCTGTTTATCTCTTTCATTTCTGCATAACTTTATCTCTTTGTTTTGGTTTCTTGGCCCAGAACATTTAATCATGGTCATGCAAAACCTATACCTAGACCAAGAAGCTTTTGTCCTAACAGAGCAAGAGAGCACTGCATGACTCAAAACAAAATAAATGTATGCATCAGGGCTATACGCTTTACCCACACCCATTCAATCTGCATGATGAGCAAATAATTTGAGAAGCTGAACTCTGTGAAGACAGATGTGGTATCAGGATAGGAGGAAGACTTAATCAACAACCTGTGTTTTACACATGACACAACCTTGCTTGCTGAAAGTGAGGAAGACTTGATCACTTAATACAGATCAAAGACTACACCCTTCAATATAGATGACACCTAAACATCAAGAAGGCAAAAAATCCTCACCACTAAATTTAAAGAATCTGTTCTTGAAACAATGTAAATAAACTAGTATAAAATAAAAATACATCCTCACCACTGGGCTGATAGGTCCTATCATGATAAATGCATAAAAGACTGAAATGGTCAATTATTTTATCTTACTGGGCTCCTCAATCAACACTCTTGTCATCATTAATCAAGAAATCAAAAGCCATACTGCACTAAAGAAAGTTTGCTGTCAGGGACTTCTCCAAATTACTGAGGAGCAATGATGTCAGTATGAAGACCAATGTGCACCTAATTCAAGTCAGGGTCTTTTCAGTCACCTGCTATGCATCTGAGAGTTGAACAACAAATAAGGGTGACAGAAGAAGTTGTTAGGAGAAGATAGTCTTTGGAAAAGGATATCATGCTTGGAAAGGAGGAGGGTCAGCAAAAGAAAAGTAGACTCTGAATGAAATGGATTGACACAGTGGCTTCAGCAAAGGCCTCAAGAATGTCAGAAATATGAGATAAGTGCAGGGTATGGCAGAGTACCAGAGCTCAGATCTGTTGTTCCTAGACTCAGAATGAGTCAGACTCAACTCAAGGGTACATGACAACAATAACAATAATCATTTCATTTATCATCTGCTGTTTGTGCGTTTTTAGTTGTTCTCTTATAATCTATTTATACTACAGTTTAGGGCTCTCAAATGTTTTTTAAATGATATTTATAATTTCAGGTTTATGCCTAATTCCTTGATTCATGTTGAATTAGTCTTGATATGATGCAAAATATAGATCTTGTTTCAGTTTTCTACATATAGATCTTTTTTCCCCCAGTCATTTGTTAAAGAGGTTCTCTTTTCTATACTTAATAGATTTTATCTCTTTGTCAAAGATCAGCTTTCCATAGATTGATGCATTTCTTTTTTTTCTGATTTCTCAATTATATCCATTGTTCTATATATATATCTGTCACTATACCATATACTAAGCTGATTTGATTTCCATGACAGTGTAGTAGCTGTTGGGATGAGGAAATATGTCACCCTACTTTGTTTCTCCTTGTCAGAAGCTCTTTGCTTATCCAGTATCTCTTTTCTTTCCTTTCCATATAAAGTTGATGATTACTTTTTCCATTTTACTGAAGAATTATGACAGACTTTCTACATCAGAATTGCTTTGTACGTATAGTTAACTTTTAGTAGTAATGCCATTTTCACAGTTATGTCTTCCAGTTCACAAGCATAGTATATTTTTCCATATATGTATGTTTATTTGGGTCTCTTATCATAGTGTTTTGTGTGTTTTGTGGTTGTCATTAGGTGTTGAGTTGCCTGCAACTCATAGTAATCCTATGCACTACAGCTCTGAACTCTGCCCTATCCTGAGCCAGTTTCACTCTCTCTGACATACCTACTCCCATTGTCCCAGCCACTGTGTTGATCCATCTCATCCTAGGTCTTCCTTTCTTGTACTGTCCCTCCACCCTTCCAAACATGGTGTCTTTCTCAAAGGACTGGTACTTCCTGGCAACATACCTGAAGTATGTGAGACAGAGCTTTAAAATCCTTGATGTCAAGGAGCAACTTGGCTTTACTCCCTCTAAGACAGACCTGTTTGTTCTCTTGGAAGTCTATGGTATGATCAATATGCTTCTCCAGCACCACAGCTCAAAGGCATCAATTTTTCTTCTGTCATCCTTATTCATTGCCCAGATTTCTGATATGTAGGAAGTAATTGCAAATATCATGGTCTGGTCAGGTGCACTTTAGTTTATATATTAACATCATTACTCTTTAGCATTCTGGAGAGGTCCTTTACAACAATAAGTCTTTTGATTTCCTGACTGCTGGTGTCATCAATGTTGATTGTGGCACTGAGTAAGCTGAAATTGTTAGCAATCTCAATCTCTTCTTCACCTATCATAATGCTACCAATTGACTCCACGGTGAGAATCTTCATTCTCTTAATGTTAAACTTCAATCCATATTGAAGACTGAAGTCCCTGACTTTCTACAACAAATGCTTCAGGACCTCCTCAGTTTCAATAAGCAAGGTGTGTCATCTGCTTAGCGCAGGTTATCACTGAGTCTTCCTCCAAACCTGATACCACATTCCTCTTCATAATTATTCAAGCCTCCTGAATGATCTCTTCCACATATAGCAGTTCTTTGGAATGTCTGATATGACTTTTTTTCAATATTTCATTTTTGGGGTGACTATTGTAAATGAAACATAGATATGTTTTACAACAGTAATATCTGTGCTTCTCAAACTACAAAATAAGAAGAACACACTCTAAGAAACTCAATAATCTCTTGAGTCCTGAACACTCCAGCTGAAATTTGCTTATGAGATTGATTAAGCATGATTACCGGCTGATGCTACTAAAAGATCAAGGGCAGGGTAAACCAGAAGTGGATAGAAACAGTCAGAACTACTAAGAAAAAATTAAATATGGCTTATAATAAATGGATAATGTTATGATGTAGGAATTAATAGTGTAATTTTGTACAGTGGTTGATACAGTATATAAATTACTATATTTTTATAACTGACAAATATGTGTTTCTTTTCATGGTGCTGTCCTGTAAACAGGAATAAATGTTCATGGGAGAAGAAAACCAAACCTATGTGACAGAATTTATCTTCCTGGGCCTTTCACAGGATCCACAGACACAAGTCCTGCTCTTCTTCCTGTTTCTCATCATCTACCTGCTGACTGTACTGGGAAATCTGATTATCATTGTACTTATTCACGTAGACTCCAGACTCCACACACCTATGTATTTTTTCCTCAGGAATTTATCCTTTGCTGATCTTTGCTTTTCTACCACCACAGTCCCACAGGTGCTAGTCCACTTCTTGGCAAAGAGGAAAACGATTTCCTTTGCTGGATGTTCAATGCAGATAGTTGTTTTACTTCTGGTTGGGTGTACAGAGTGTGCACTGCTGGCAGTGATGTCTTATGACCGCTACGTGGCTGTATGTAAGCCCCTACACTACTCCACCATCATGACACATTGGGTCTGTGTCCAGCTGGCCATCGGGTCCTGGGTCAGTGGGGCATTTGTATCTCTGGTGGATACCACATTTACATTGCGTCTGCCCTATAAGGGCAACAATATCATTAACCATTTTTTTTGTGAACCTCCTGCCCTCCTAAAGTTGGCATCAACAGATACTTACAGTACAGAAATGGCCATCTTTGCAATGGGTGTAGTGATTCTCTTAGCTCCAGTCTCCCTTATTCTTGTCTCTTACTGGAATATTATCTCCACCGTGATCCGGATGCAGTCTGGAGAAGGGAGAATCAAGGTTTTCTCAACCTGTGGCTCCCATCTCATTGTTGTTGTTCTCTTCTATGGCTCAGCAATATTTGCCTACATGAGGCCAAACTCCAAAATAATGAATGAACGAGATAAGATGATATCTGTATTTTACTCAGCAGTGACTCCCATGTTGAACCCTATCATTTATAGTCTGAGAAACAAAGATGTCAAAGGGGCCCTTAGGAGAATCACTAGAAGATAGCCTTTTGCGTAGTTGTAATTTTCCATGAAATATTCCCAATTCTTCTCCCAGTCCTGATTTTTCCCTTTCCTTGTTTCTCATCTTCCTTCTCATATACATTCAAGAAACTGTGTATTCAATCAAGACACCTTGACAGGTGGGTTAAATAAAGATAAAATGAAAGTTAGATAAACAAAGCATAGTCCCTACTTCCCAAATCTATATAATCTAGTAAGAAATCTAAACCAAGTAGTTATACAACTTTCATTTCATAGATAGACAAAAAACAAATAGAAATATGTGAATACAGATCTAGCTAATGATATAATTTCATTCTTGCATTGATAGAGTATCTTAAGCACTTACTATATATTAGATTGAAATAGACAATTATTTCACCTTACTTGGTCCTGGATGTCAAGAAATCAAGGTAAAGTCTTGAAAAAGATAAAGATCTAGATAAAGTTTTGGAAAAGTCTGCTTTTAGAGACATTTCCAAATTACTGAGGAATAATAATGTGAGTTTAAAGACTAAAGGTATACCTGATTCATGGTATGGTCTTTACAATAGTTGCTATAAATCTGAGAGCTGGACAATGAATATGGATGACAAAAATGATTTATTCTTTTGATTTATAGTGCTGGGGCACTCAGATATGTCTTAAAGAAGGTACAGCCAGACTGCTTCTTAGAGGTAAGGATGGTTAAGCTTACTTTGGACACATTAGGAAGGGCTACAATATCCCTAGTACCACGGCCCCGTCTAAACCCAGCCTGCACTTTGGTAGTTCTCTGTTGATGTGCCGTTTCACTCATTTTTGGATAATCTTCAGCAAAATCATGCTTGCATGTGATATTAATTATATTGTTCAATAATTTCAACACTCTGTGGAATTACCTTTCTTTGGAATGGGAACAAATATAGATCTATTCCAATCAGTTGGCCAAGTGGTTATTCTCCAGATTTCTTGGCACAACTTGGTGAGCACATTAGGGCAGCATCTGTTAGTTGAAATATGTCAATTGGTATACCATCAATTCCTGGAACCTTATTCTTAACCAATTCTTTCAAAGCAGTCTGAACTTCTTCCTTCATCACCATAGGCTCTTGTTCATACATTGTTTCATTAAATTCTTTTGTGTCTGCCAATTCCTTTTGATATAATGAGTCTGTATATACTCTTTCCATCTTCTTTTAATACTTGCAGAATCACTCAATATTCTACCCAAAGCGTCCTTAAGTATTATAACTCGAGGCTTGAATTTCCTCTTCAGTTCCTTGAGCTTAAGAAATGCTGAGTGAGTTCAGCCTCTTCGATTTTTTTACTCCAGCTCTTTGCACATTTCATTTTAATTCTTTACTTTGTTTTGTCGTGCAGCCCTTTGAAATCTGTTCAGCTCCTTAATGTCTTGATTTCTTCCTTTTGCTTTGTCTTCTCGGTGCTCCAGTGCAATATTCAGAGTCTCTTTTGGTTTTCCTCCTCTGTCTTTGCAATGACCTTTTGCACTCTTCCTGAATATCTTGCTATCTTCCCATAACTCATCTGGTCTTCGCTCATTAGTGTTCAAGGCCTCTAACCTGTTTCTGAGATGGTTCTAAAATTCAGGTGGGATAGACCCAAGGTCAAATTTTGGTTCCTGTGGGCATTAGTTTGGACTCAAAAAATGTTCTTTCCAAAATCACTAAAGCTGGAATTTAGAAGAGAGGTATGGGCTGGGTAAATAGATTTAGGAGTTGATCTCCTACGCCAAGATGGTGTCCTCTGGCTGTTCATAGTCACCAGTGGTTCTGAAAGAGGAAGATGGACAATGTCAGCATTTGGAATATACCCACAAAACCTTTTGGAAGGTCAGCTATGGGTCATTATGGACTCCACATCAATAAGTTGAGTGAGACAAATAAATGCAATTGTTAAGTTTAAGACAAGCAAAAATTTGCTCCTAATTTTTAAAATGGAAAACCAAATGTCTGTATTTTTGTTGTTATGTTACTGTTATATGCCATGAGGTCAGAAGCTACTCATAGCTGACCCTCCAGTAGGTTTCCAGGGCATCAGTGAGGGAGTTGTGGTGGCCTAGTGGCAAGAAACTACACTTCAATCCTGAAGGCAACACGAGACAACCAGCAGCTCCATGGAATAAGGAAGCGCAGTCTCCTCCTGTGTGATAAACTGCCTTTGAAAACCCACCAGTGGGTCAGCTATGAGTCAGTTCTGACAGTATAGTACTCAACAACAACAGACATCAATGAACTGAGATGGACAAGCATGGGCCCTTTGAATTAGACAATTACATGATCTACTATGCTGAGAACGAAAAACTGAGGAAAATGGTGGTGTTTTAATAGTTAAAAGGACAATTTCAAGTGATAACCATAATGTTCAATAGTTTCCACATTATTTTGTTTCCAGGAGGAAAGTAATATAAAATATTAGATATATTTTGATGTGATTCCCTTCGTATGCAATACTGGTTTCTTAAATTACCTATTTTTAATTTTTTTCATTAACAGAATCATTCTCAAATTATGAATGATAGATTTCCTAAATAATGCTAAAAATATGAATCATCTCACAGCGCTCACATACTTATTCTAATATCAAACACTTAGCCCTGATTTTAACAATCAGAGATAGTATTTATTCAACTCTTAATATGTGTAATATTCGGTTAATTAACCTTATTATTTTAGAGGACACAAAGTATTCACATTCTACAGATGATATAATGTAATAAAAATTGTTAATGGAGCCCATAAAAAGAGACTTGAGAACTTAAATATGTGTTTTCTTTTTTCGTTCTCCTTTTAACCACCAGGGAATCATTTGAGAGGCGATACAGCTCCAGATCTACCCTAATGATTCAGAAATCCTCCGGAGTTCAGCTCCTGAGGCTGCTCCTAATATTCCCCTGCACACTTCACTTAAATGAAACTATTCTTGCACAACTTATCTTGAGACCAATAATAAGCCATTTTTATGTAGCAAGAAGCGATAGGATATGTGGGGATTTCTTTTCTTATCCTGTCTTTGCACTTTGGAGATTTGACTACTATCTCTGGTTTTATAACAAGATACTCATAGTTTCTAACCAGTCTTTGCTGTTGCTAATGTATCTGTAACATTTTCCCAACAGTGAGGTCTTTGGCTAGCAACAAAGCACACCATGCCACCAGAGCTCTTTTCAACAGTCGGATATTTAACAGGTTTTAAGATATTAATTTGATCTTTCTTTTTCTCTAAAAGAGTAAAACTTTTGCAAAATTGATAAGGCAAGGAAGGAGAAGTCACCAATTGAACAGAAAGGAAATAAATCAGGGTATGTTGTGAGTGAATGGGTTTCAATTTCTTTGTATGTTTTCTTTTTAAACTCCAATTTGCTCCAAGAAATCTGATTCTTAGTGCTACATCTTATCTCATGGATATAAGTAAGGGTTTGTCTTCAGTGAATCTGCCTTTGAAATGATCATTATAATCAATGCCCTGTAAAGAAGAATCCTAGCTCTCTACTTAAAGGGATATAAGCAGGACTTCCTTGAAGTCTGTGGTGGCCCTTCAGGTGAGTTCTTAATGAAAGATGGTAAATGGGTATAAAGGAAAAGTTTATATGATTCAGAACACAGATTTTTAGAATCAGAAAAGCAATTGTTTTTCTCTTAATTCCTATGAATTTACTCAATTTCAACACCCTAAAAAGAGTGTCATATTAAGCAGTGCATAGTTCAGTGACTCTATCATCTGTTATCATATTTCATTTTAGAGAAATAAAAACATAAATTGTTGTTAAATATGAAAACAGGAAATAAGAAGACAAAGATTGGTAGTAAACATGGTTTCTTTTCTGAAGATTCCTAACCCTGGGGACAGATTCACAGTTACCTAGAGGAATATCTTTCTCTTCATCATTCACATGGAGAAATATCATGTTTGAAAAGTCAATTCGGTGCTATCAGATATCCAGACTTGTGTGTTTATAATTCTAGTATCTATAGTGATCTCTGTTACCAAGAAACTAACTTTCATCTCTCATTTACATTCACATGTTGAATTAGATAAAACCAGCTGAATAAATATGTAATGAATACTTATTACATACGAGAATATATATTATTTTCTTTGAATAAAATTGACCTTGAAGTGAAAATCTTACAGTTATCTGGAATGACAAATTATTTCCACGTGACTTCTTAGAGTTAAAATTGAAGTAAGTACATGATGGTATAGATGCATATGCATTTATAGGTTATATATTTGTGTATGTCTTTGTCCACATGGATTGGAAATGGAAGTGAGGAATGAAGCAAATGTATAGATTATTAAGGAAATTGTTCTAGAGTTTATTTTTCCTAATTGAAGTCTTGATTATTAGTTAGATTACAAAGGGATAGAAATCACAGCTTTATACTGTGTCTACATTTTCATTTGGTCACTCTGGTTGTAGATACCACTCTGGTATTTGTAGCAAAAATTTGGTTTTATACTCTAGCTTTCCTTTCATGAAACTGAAAAACATTATTAGAATACCATTTACTTTTCCCTGTAAGCTAGACATGATTTAGACAAACCAAAATCAAACCCTAAAAACCCAAATCTGCTGTTACTTAGTCCAGTCTGCCTCCTGGCAATCTTATAGGACAGAATAGAACTATGTTGTAGAGTTTATGAGACTGTAAATCTTTAAGGAATCCAACTGCTCCTTCTTTCTCATAAAGTGGTGGTGTGTAGGCTTAAACTATTGGCCTTTTGGTGTTTTAACCACTCTAATCTCAGAGTATCTGGGCGGCTGCAGCTGCCCTCTGATTTCTGCTCTGAGAGGGATGAAAGCTGTGACAGGAGTACACGTCTAAACCTGAGCTTACCCAGAACATGGGGGGCTCATTCCAAGAACAAACCAGGTAGCACTTTATATTAAATGGACTGTAACTCAGAAATGTACTAACTTAAAACAGCTTATGTTGTTACAACTTATTGCTTAATTCTTTTGACAATAAATTATGTTGGTTTAAGTACTTGTTAGGTTAATTTGCTGCAGTATTGTTGTTACTGAAATGACACTAAACACTGAATGAAATATGTGTTGGTTTGTACTTTCTTCTTTAGGATTATTGCCTCCAGGAACTGGATCTTTTGTCTGTTTTTCTGGCATGGTTCCAAGTAGATTTTTAACACTAACTGTACTATTTTAATGATCTATAGTGGGTTTTACTCAACAGATAAGGTTGAATGATTATTACCAGTATGATTAACTCACTACATAGATTTAACATTACTATTTTTGGATACTCATCACACTGGGGATATACATTCAGCCTTATCTGTTAAGTGAGAAACATCATAGATCAATTAAATTAGCACAATTAATGTTTAAAATCCCTTTGAAAACATACTAGAGATAGACAAAAGACCCCACTCTTGGACCAAAGAATTCTAGAAAGGGAAGTATAGACCAAAATTATGTTTTATCCAGAGTGTTAATGTGGTTCCTGGAACATCACAGACCTACAGAAGTGAGGTAACAAAATGTAGTTTGTCCTAGTCGTGTGTTAATGACTGGAAAGGTGCTCTGCAATAAGATAAAGAAGGCAAATTTCATTTGCTGTCATTGTGGAGACATTAAGTTGAGATATAATTGTTCTTATTAATATTTTATTTTTATT